CAGGACGGCATCCGGGGGCCGTAGCGGGATCGGCCCGGCGAGCTCCCGCGCGCCTGTGCTCAGCGCTGCCGACCTGCTGCCTCTTCGACGCCTTTCGTATCTCCGCCTCCCCTGCGCGCCACAGGGCGGCCACATCCCTGCGGGCGACGGCAACAGCTTTGTGCAGCCGCGGGCGCTGGCCACAGTGAAGCAGTGCTGCCAGGCGTGCCAGGCCATGGCGGCGTGCGGCGCGTACGTCTACGACCCGCGAATGCAGATGTGCTACTTTAAGGTGGGCACGTGGGTGTGTGCGTGTTGGTGGCGGTGGCTTTGAGAGATGCAGGGAAGGGGAGGCGGTAAGGTGCCTGCTGGCCGCACCTGCCATCTCCACCGTACTCACCTGCTCACCTGCTGCCGTGTGTGCCGCCCCCCTCTGCTGGCCCACAGTCGTCCAGCGGCTGGACCAAGGTGCCCGCCCCGGATGTGATGTCGGGCCTGGTGTACGATGCTGGTGCCAACTGGCCGCGCAGCACAGGTGGCCGCAGTCCTCCGGGGGCACCCCCACCGCGGCCAGCGCCCGGGGCCCCGCCCCCCAGCCAGGGTGGCAGCGGCGGCGGCATCATCAGCAAAGCCGCTGCGGCCTGGACGCCGCGGACAGGCGTGCTGCTGGTCCTGCTGTCAGCTGCTGCGCTGCTGCTCTAACACAGAATTACCGAAGCTTTCCCTCCTTTCAGGTCACCAGTGAGGCACTGCTGTTGTTTCCAGTTTCCAGCACTTGTTTCTGTTACTGTTGAGCGCCAATGTTGCAAGGTCCACAATTCAACAGCACCTTCAGAGCAGACTGGCCAGCTGCTGCCACATGTCTAGCGGCAGGTAGTGGCGGGCAGCCAGCAGGCAGCGGCGCAGTAGCGCCAGGTTGTCCACACTAATGCTCTGCTCCTGCGCAGCATGCAGCGCCGCTGACAGCCGCTGCAGCAACAAAGCTGCAGAGGCACCGTGCTGCCAGGCGGGGCTGGCCAGCAGCACCGGCAGGGTGAAGGGCAGGCTGTGCACCGCGGCATCTGACGGGCCAGCGGTGGAGATGTGGTCTGCTGCGATCTGGTCGGTGGCGCCTGCTGCCGCTGCTGAGCTGGCAAGGATGGCGGCCGCCAGCTGCAAGGCACCACCCACGCTGGCGCAGGCCTGCAGGGGAGCCGAGGGGTGGGCACATGCTCAGACGACTAACAGCTAAAGCAGGCGTCAAGATGTCTGAGATGGGTGGGGCAGCAGTGGCAGGTGCAGTATTACCCCACGGAGAGCGCAAAGGGGCTCACCCCGCATGCCTCCAGCACATCAAGCAGCCACTGCTGCTGCTGGCCTTCTGGCAGTGTCGCCACGGCGCGGCCCACAAAGGCTGCCACCAGGCCCTGCTGCTTCCAACTGAGACTGCCAGACCCGCTGCCACCGCCGGGTGCCGCCAGCAGCAGGTTACGGGGGTGCTGCAGCGCCCGGCCTTCCAGGGCGCCGTTCGCTACCAGGGCTGCCGTTGCGTAGGCCGCATGCAGCGGCAGCTGCTGCAGCACCAGCGGTTGCTGAAGCACCCCCTCAAGCTGCTGCCTGGGCAGCAGCTGCAGGCAGCGCAAGGCGGCGGCCCAGCAGCGTTGCTGCATGGATAGCAGTGCATCGGGATAGCAGCCCGTGCTGATCTGATACTCCTCGCTGTCTGTGGCTGTGAGGGCTGCTGTCAGGTGCAGTGGGTACTGGCCAGGTGCCGGAAGCAGCGGCAGCAGCAGCTCTGCCATGGCCTGCTGCGCTGCCAGCCGCAGCCCTGTGCTGGTGGCACTGGTGCCGCAGAGCAGCTGCTCTGTGGCATGCAGTAGCGGCAGGAGAAGGCGCTGGCTGGCAGGTGCGGCTGCCACATACTGGCACACTGCATGCAGTGCACCGACTGCTTGGGACTCAGGCAGGGCCGCCTGCAGCTGCGGGAGGCGGAGCAACACGCGGCGCTGGGCGGCGACTGCGGCAGCTGCCAGGCAGCGCTGGCCCACAAGCTCGGCCGCCAGGTCTGCCAGGTGGTGGTGCTGCTGCTGCCGAGCGCCCTGGTCAGCCACAAAGGACACCACCGCGTGCTGCACCTCCTCTGACGCCACTGCTGGCGCGTTGAATGTGCGCAGCAGGCGGCGGCACACAGCGCTGTAGTTCATCCCCGGCAGCCGCTCCGCTGCTGCAACGCAGCGCAGGATGGCAGCGGCATCCGCCGCCGCCAGCTCCTGACCGCCTGCAGCGCCGGCGTCCTCATCCCCTGCAGGCAGGGCAGCGGGGGTACCATGCCGGCAGTCTCTGCGTCACATAACCTTCTCCCAGTAGGCCAGGCGGCTGCATGGCTGGGCACTCCTCTGTCTGCTTCCCAGCAGCCTACCTGGCAGCACCCAGCGCCCTTCCAGCAGCGACTCCAGCAGCGGGCGCAGCGCTCCGTCTGGAGGCAGCTGGGCAAAGCCCCTGCTGCCACCTGCAGCCGCGCCGTGGGACGCAGACCCGCCGGCTGCGCCGCCTCCTCCGCCGCACCTGCTGGCATAGCAGAGGGCGGCCAGGGGTGCGGCACAGGCGCGGCGGGCCCGCGGGTTGCTGTCCCTGAGCGCCAACCCCTCCAGCACACCCACTGCAGGCGGGAAGAAAGGACGGGCAGGCATAATTATGGCCAGCAAAGCGGCTTCGGACGGAGGCCTTGCATTAGACAGAAGTGGATGAACACCTCAGCAAAGCAGGCCCTGCAGCGAACCAGCTTACCTGCGGTCTTGTACAGAGGACTGGCAAGGTCCACAACACCCTCTGTCAGCAGTACCGCTATTCCAGCTGCCGCGCCCTGCTTGGCAGCCGCCGCATGTGGCAGCCTGACAGCCGCATCTGGCACCGCCAGCAGCAGCTGCAGGACTGCCGTGGGCCCCTCCTCCGGTGTTGATGGCGTGAAGCCGTGCCGCAGGGCTGAGGCAAGGAGGGTGCCCGCTGCTGCCGCTGCGGATCCCACGACTTGACCGTCTGCTGCTGCTGCTGATCTTCCTGCTGGCTCATGGCTGCCGCCAGTCTTGGCTACAGAGAGCAACAGGCATAGGCTGCTGCTGACGTCCTTGCCGGGCGCCACGCCCGCGCTACATCCTGCTGCAGCCGACGCCTGCAGCAGGGTGCAGAGTGCTGCAGCAGCAGCCGGGCTTCCAGCTGCCGCCAACGGCTGCTGCGACATGGCGGCGGCCACCTGCTGGTGCAGTTGCTGCAGCAGGCCAGCCAGAGGAAGCGTCGCAGCTGCGGGTGGCAGAGCTACTGCCAGGGCCCTCCCTGCTGGCGGCAGTAGCTCATTAGCAACGTCGGCAGCCAGTGCTGGGAAGACAGGTGGCAGCTGAAGGTTGCATGATGCAGCTGCTTGACCGATGCTGCTCCCGCCAGCTGGCCACGCCGTGCAAAAAAAACTCAGCAGGCTGCTAAGCCCCTCCCGCAGGGGCTGCTCGGCGGCAGCAGGCAGGCCTCCGCTTGCAGGTGCAGCTGTGCCGCCTGCTGCTACCGCGGTGCTGCTGCTCAGGGCACTGCATGCCAGGCCTAGCCCAGTGGCAGCAGCAGCAGCTGCGGCTGCACCTGACGCTGCTGTCCAAAGGTCATGGAGCTGCTGCTGCATGAGCTTCAGCAGCTCCTGCAGCGCAGAGGGGCCTAACGCCACCCGCACTGACTCTGCGGTGGCGCCAAGAGCCGCCAGTGCGGCGCGCTTCACCGCTGCTGGCTGCTCCCCTGCTGGCGCTGCCGCGTCGCGCAGCGCACCATGCACCGCTGTGACCAGGGCTGGCAGCGGCTGCGGGGTGCAGCAGCACAGGGCAGCGGCAGCCCAAGCTGCATTGGCAGCCGCGGCGGGGGTGCTGTCGCCGCCGCTGCCACCCTCGAGCTGCTGCTTCACTGCTTCCCACACCTGTAGGGCGGCATCGGTGGCTACTTGCTGCTGGCCCTTTTGCTGTTCGTTGGTCTGCTTGCTGCGGCTGGCCGCCCGCACCCCCGCCATCCAGCGCCGCAGGAACGCGCTCCAGGCCGGCAAAGCCTCCGCCGCTGTTCTGGCGTCCTCGGTTGCTGCAGAGCCAGGTGCTGCCTGCTGCCTCACTACCTCTGCAAACACGGCCTGGTAGGCTGCTGCAGCCTGGCGGGCAGCCGCTGCTGCAGTCTTGCTGCTGCCTTCAGACGGAGGCGGTGGTGCATAGAAGAAGAGTACCGCCGCTGGCGCCACTTCCGGCAGCCGTGCCAGCAGGTCTGCTGCTGCCGCCAAGGAGCCGCCCAGCAGCTGGCTGGGCAGCACAGACTGGATTCGATGAGATATGGGAGCGGCTGCACCGCCAGAGGCGCCTGTCGCCGTGCTGGAATGGTGGCGGCTGGGGCCGGCAGCGAATCCTTCTGCTGCTGCAGGTCGGCGCCGCGTGGCATGCTCATGTGCCAGCGCTGCCCGCACCAGGGCCTCACACTCTGCCATTGCGTGCGCCGCTGCACGACGCACGCGGCCAGTTGCATCCCGCTGCTGCTGGGTCGGCTGGCGCAGCTCGGCGCGCAGCAGGGCAGCGTAAGAGTCCAGCGGGCACAGCGCACCAATCTCCTCGAGGATCCCAAATTGGAAGGCTGCCAGCGAGGCGTATGCCTGGCGGCGGACCTGCAGGCGGCGGGAGGAGCAGGCAGCTCAGCACATAATCCGGCAGCTGGGTGGACAGTGTAGCATCGCATGCATGGACAACCAGCAAGGCTGCAGTGTAAAAACTCAAATACAGTGTCCAGCTGCAGCTCATGCAAGGCCGCTGCTGCCGGTCAGCCCACCTGCGGAGCCTCGTGCGCTGCCGCCAGCCACAGCGCATCGATGATGGCGGCGGCCGGCTGGGGTTGCACCGCGGCATCCAGGGCACCACACCCCAGCAGGCGCACCTGGAGGAGGCAGCAGCAGAAGCGGTGGGAAGGGCAGGCGGCGGGGATCGCAGCGAGTCATCAGTACACCGCAATAGGAGTCAGCCACTGCAGTGCAAACGGCGGCAGCACCGTGTGCGCACCCAGGCGGCCGCTGCTGCTGGGTGATCGGGCAGGCGCGGCGCTGCGCGGTGCACCACGTGCCAGGCCGCGTAAAACTCGAGCACGTTGGCCTCGCACAGCAGGGCCACGCAGTCAAGGGCGGCAGCCTGCACGGCGGGGGCCTCGTCTGCCAGGGACTCCTGCAGGGTGGCATAGATGTGTGATGGGAGTGCTTGGCGGGGCGGCATGTAGCCAGGTGACAAGAGCTGAGCATGAGGCACGCCCGGAGGCACGCTGCACCAGCCACGGCCCCGCTGCCACTCGCGACACCTGGATCAGCCCAACCAGCTCTACGGCCTTGTCGGGATCGGAGGTTGCGACATCCCGCAGGCACTCAGCGCGTGACACGCGCAGTGCCAGGCCAGGCTGCTGCCCCGGTGCGGCAAAGCCTGCGGCGGTGGAAAGATGTTCAGGAGCCGTTGAGCTGCCGGACCGGTTTGCTGGGCCACCCAGGCCAGGAATTGAACCGCGTATGCAAGCACACAAGCAGCACATATACCAATGATTGCCGCCCGCAGCTGTGGGTAAGCCCGTCCGCCGCTGCAGCGCCACAGCCGGCACAGCAGGCGCAAGCCTGCTGCCTGCAGCACCTCAGGTGCGCCTGCAGAAGAAGAGAGTGTCCATACTTTTGGAACAAGGGTGGCTCCCTGGCTGTGGGCGCACTGCCTGGCAGGGGCGGTATTGGGATCCATCAATGCAGCAGCAGCACTAGCAGCAACCCTCAACCTGCATCACCTGCGCTCAGCAGCGGCTGCAGCGTGCGCAGCACAAAGGGCAGCGCAGCAGGGTGGCGCCCTGCCGCTGGCAGCGCCCGCAGCAGGTCCAGCAGAAGGCGGGGTGGGCGCTGACATTTGCCTGTAGGAGGGCAGATGCACGGAGCAGCGGTGAGTGGGCACTCGGCAGGGGTGTCCTGGCGGATGCAGTGCAGTGCAGGGGCAGCAGGCACAAAAGGCTGCCATCTACCTGACAGGAAGAGCTTGACTTGCCCCTGCAGTTGCTGCACCAGCAGCGGCAGCAGCGACAGTCCCAGCAGCGGCGTGGCAGCCAGCGCTGCCAGTGCGGCATGGAGTGAGGCACGCTGCACCGGCTGAGCCGGGTGCTGCAGCAAGGCGCAGGCGATAAGCAGCACGCCACCGTCCAGCTGCTGCTGGTCCCTGGTTGCCCTCCTGCCGCTGGTCGCACCGCTGTTGCTGCTGGCAGCGGCCGCCAGGGTCAGCTGCAGGGAGGCCAGCCAGTGGTGCGCCTCGAGAGGGTGTCCCCACAGCCTCTGCAGAAGCTGCTGCGCTGCACGAGCAGCAGCTGCAGAGCCATGGAGGCCGCTACTGCTGAGGGCAACGCTGGGTCCAGCTGCCTCAGGACTCCTGACCTGCACAAGCAGTGCCAGCAAGTGGGCTGCCCAATGCTTCACAAACTTGGTGTTGCTAAATGCCACCTCCTGCAGCAGCGGCAGCAGCAGCAGCGCCGCCAGCTGCTGAGGCTGCGGCTGGCCGCCAGAGCCTGCTCGCGCTTCGCCAGGCCCGGTGCCGGCTGCCTGTTGCAGCAGCTGGCCCAGCAGCGCCATCAACGCCTTGGCCTCACCGCCTCCCAGCCACCCTCTTGGCTGCTGCTGCAGCAGCAGGCCCAGATCAGCGGCGTACGGTAGCACCAGCTGAGGCCAGTAGGCGGCCAGGCGCGCCAATGCCACCCCCAACTGCTGCAGCAACGCAGCAGCCTGCGCCCGTGCAGCGTCGTAACACAGGCAAACCAGGTGGGCGGCGAGTGAGGCAATGGTGTCTGCATCTACACGGGGCAAAGTGGTGGTGGGGGCAGCGTGCCTATGTCAAGAATGCAGCATCGAAGCTGCGAAGTGGACAGGCACGTTCCCAGGTGTGCAGCATCGTCATGCTGCTGGCCGGCAGAAGCAGAGGCAGCTGCCTCGCACGCCCCACCTGGGTCCTCATCTGCGCTCTCCACCACATCCATCACATCCGCCACTGCCGCACTGGCAGCAGCCTCCAGCTCTGCGCTGGTGCCGCCGGCCGAGGCGCCCACCGTCGATGCTGTCAGGGAGAGGCGCAGCGCTGGAAGATGTGTAGCCAGGAATTGCAGTAGCTGGGCCTGGGCCGCGGGGCTGGTGGTGCAGCACGCAACACGGGCCAGCGTGCTGCGTAGCTGGGGTGGCATCAGCGGGTGCTGAGCGGCCAGCTGTGAGTCCAGCAGCACAAAGCTGAGGAAAGGGCGTAGCTGGGCCAGCAGCCTTTCAAACACCGCGGCATCCGGCACGGCTGCAGGGGCCGCCGCCGCCTCGGCTGCCCGCATCAGCAGCCGCGCCACTCCCAGCACCAGCGGCTGGCCGGCGCCAGCACTGGAGAGCAGCGCCTTGCTGAGCGGATGGGTGCGCCAGCCGGCGGGGGCTGGGCTGCTTGGCGGCACGGGGGTTGCTGGCTGCAGCTGGCCCTCAAAAAGCTGCAGCAGGGCGTCAGCCAGCACCGGCACGGTGTGGCTCCCTGCCGTGCTGAGCGCGGCGAGCAGCTGGTCTTGCACCCTGGCAGCGGCTGAGGCGCCGGCGCTCGCTAGCGGGAGCAGGGCCAGCACTGCCGCCTCCACAGCGGCCTGCAGGCGGCACGAGGAGGAGGAGGTTGGCAGCCAGCAAGGGCAGGGCCGCTGCTGCACGTGTGCAGGTTGCCCACCTTGCTATCGCAGGCCAAGCACTGCTCGACGGCCGCGTCCCTGTCGGCTCGCGGCAGGCCGGGCGTCTTGGCGAGGGCATCAAACACGCCGACCACCACTGCCTGCTGCACCGCGGGGTGCGGAACCTTGAGGCGCTGCAGGTGCTGCTCCAGGAAGACTGGTGTCGACATGGTGAAGGCGGCGGTGGTGGAGCCAGGTGGGGACGGCGAGAGGCGGCGGCGGTGACCGGATCAAGGGGCGGCCGGGAGGCTGCTAGGACTGATCCGGCACTTTTGATTGGTGATGGGCGGCATTGCCCAGATAGGCCTCCCGATCACCGGTCCCCTCCTGGCGGGGGTCATGCATCCCCCACCCATCATGCATTTCAGGCTTCATCTCCCTCAAACCTCCACCATTTTCCCTCTCGTTTGTCGTGATCGACTCCGGGTAGCCCAAATGCTTCATGACTCCCCCCAAGCTGCACATCAGCGTGCATGAGTCCAACCCTGGGAGGCGCCTTGACAATGAACAGCCGCGCAGGCAGGCATCTAAAAGACCAGGTCAGGCTCCTCCTATAAATCATCCCGGGCAGCGCAGCCGGCGCCATGCCGAGGCGGGGCCAAACACCTCGAGCAGCAGCGGCTGGTGGAGCGAGCGGCAGCAGCGCAGGCACGATGCTTGGGACGACAGGAGAGAGGCGGACGAGCAGATGATGCTGGCCACCACACCGCAGCGGGCGGCGCTGCAGGCGGGGCAGCGGGCGGCAGAAATCCAGCAGGTTCAGGCGCGGCTGGACAGCACGGAGCCACTGCGCTGCTGGCCCACAGCTGGCCGGCATGACGGCACTCTTTGCTGTTTCAGGAAGACTGGAACCATGCCGGCAGTGTATCACGGCCTTGGCGGCGTGGCGGGCTCCCTCGTGGTGCCCATTTTTGGGTGCACTTCGCACGGCGAGAAGAACGTCACAGCGCACCCGTCCAGGT